GCCAGGTAGAGAAAGCTTCATAATTGTGGCATACGCCATTAATATTTTGGTATTTTTTCGTAGCATACAACCAAATCTAAAGCATTGTGCTTCGAGGGCTTCAGAGAACTGTTGCCAGGAGACGTCGAATATATTCAAGCTGTTAAGGTGTCAGGCGTTTGCTTTGAAGAAGAAGGTGTCTCAAATGGGACTTATGATGGCGTACTCAGGAGATCCGCAGGCGTAATATCAGCAGCCACACAGCTTCAGCTGTCACTAAAGGCAAAATCTATAGTCATCAAGACACATGCATATGCTTTTGCGTTTTACATGGTCAACATTGCCCTTCTACCTCGCCTTCATTGTGGGAGCCTACCTTCGGGAAGGAATAGCCGCAAAGGTTTTAAAAAAAATTTTTACAGCTTCCCAGAAGCCTTTGAGGCCTTGGTCTTCCAGACATACCAACGTTCACGAGAGCAGTAGCTACAAAAACAACACAGAAGCTCTTCGATAATAGAAAAAACTATCAGTACAAGCTTTTAATGTACTGTAGTAGTGCAGTAAGAGAAGCTTTCCCGGAAACACCGTACATTGGACCACGAGCAAACATTTTGCCTAAGTTTTACAGAGCTCTTAGTGGGTTGAAAAGAACAGTTGAACAGGCTCACGCAATAGGCTCACGCAGTCTGGAAGAAGTTTCTTCACAGTAAGTAAGTGTAATGTTGACAAGTCGCACTCTGAGCAAGGAGGAAGAAAAAAAATCCTGCACAAAAAATGGAAACGATGGCATTGCAATCGCGCGTTTGACAAGGTGCGCAAGTTATATTGTTTGAGAAGATGGTTGAGGACATTGCCTACGTGTGAGAGTTTAGCCCGATGGGCGGTTGTTTTAGCTCACCACTGTCCGAACTGCGGCAAAAGTGAGACGGCACAACATACTATGTTCGAGTGCTCGGGAGTGCAAGGCGTGTGTAACATGGTGCAACGCCTCATTGGCTTTCGCACCTGCCGCACGGAAACAGAACGTGGGCGATTCGCAAGACTGCTCTTTAGAGTGACCTTCTACGTACTGAAGCGGTGATGCTGTTTAGCGGAAGTGCATCTCTCTTTAGGCATCTCTATGAGGTACAAGCCTCATAGAGATGCCTATCCCGCACTCCAGAAAATACGGCTCATTGTGTGGAATTACCGCCATGATCAGCTGTAAACAAATGGTTAAAAAATTTGTCACTATAATTCAAGAAAAACGAGTCATTGCTTGTGCACGTTTATTTCAATTTCGCATCCCCGGTGTAGGGAAGTGCTACTCTTCTGCAGGGGACCTTCGTTTATGAGAGAGCCTGGATGAGAAGCCCCACTTCAGTGCTTGAGGCATCTGAAAAAAAAAAGAAATATATAACTTATTTAGTATGCACTGGAGTAATGTTTCGAATTCTTTGAGAATGAAACCATACAATTAACAAATGCAGAATTATACAAGCTAGACCAGTTCGTCTTACACGTAGCATCGAGCAAAGAAGTTTGAGTTTGGCATAGTCGAGAGAATAAAGTACGCAGTTGCAGTTTTTTTTCTGCTGTTACAGTGGTATTTCACATAAACGTCACTATTCACATGTTTGTGTTGGTTCTAACTGCAATAATACATAAAAAAGAGCCAATATACCACTGCGCCTTTATATATATATGTGACGTATGAAGCGATGGTCGGTAGAGGCAGAGAAGGAAGAAGTGAGAGATAGAATAAACATGGGGTATGAGCCAGGCCACGTCTCCCAGTCATCATAGCGTCACACGAGTCGACAGGATGGAGACCTGCCTGCCCCTTCATCAGTCACTCATCATCGACGCAGTTCCCCAGAAGACGCCCTGACCGTACATTGACTACCGAATCATCGCCTAGGAGGACAACGACCAGCACCATGACAGAACCATCGGCTGACCTCGACATCCCCAAGTACACCGGATCAGTGGACCCGTACAGGACTGGTTCAACCTGTTCGAACTCCACGCTACCGCTGCATCTTGGTCGGAACGGGAGATGGTTACGAACTTCAGCGACTACGTCTCCGGTGAGGCACTCAAGTTTTACCTGACACACATATTCGAAAACGACGAATCATGGCAAAAGATCAGGGAAGAGATGATTACCCGTTTCAAAGAATACGATAAAGACCTGTTCATACCTCATCAGCGGAAGGCTTTTCAACTGACCCATCACAGTTACGCGAAGTCTTCCCGCAGTAAGCCTATTTTCCAAACGAGACCTCAGAGAAAATATACCACCATTGTACCATCATGTGACTCTTCCGAAAAAACGTCACGCATTCGAACACCGACTCGTAACGTGCACGTCACAACAGACAAGGTAAAGCGTCCATATACCGAAAGGAATCTAGACAATTTCGCCGAAAAACTGAACCTAAACCCGCCTTTCCCAAGAGCAATGAAATCGGCATTTTCAACGTGTTCACTGCACGACAACACTTCAGATTTTACAGAACCACCCAAATGCCTTGATGCATCGGGTCACACACAAGGCCCAAACGGTTTCGAGCGTGTGACGGAATTTACGTGTGACGAGCTGGTGAATCCTCGCAATACCAGCCCCCACCCTGACGTTCCCGACCAGGGTCGTTCGACAGACATTGTCAGCATAACTACGCTGCAAAAAGAAAAAAATACGCCATCAGAACCACCTGAAGCCGTCTGTACTGCTCTCATCGTCAAGTGATAACACACACGTGAGTCAAAGCACTGCGGAAATTTCGAATCCACCAACGCCGGCGCATTGTCAACTGACAGAAGCATTTACAATGAAGGATGACTCACAACCATCTTGAGAGCGTTCTCATCAGCCTGTCACGCTGCTGTCATCGCAGGACAAGCCTAGCAGTACAGTGTCGACTACCGACAATCTACTGATCACATCACCATCTAAAGAAAAGCAGACTCATGTTCCTGAAAGAGGCCCATCTGACGAACTTTCACAAGAAGACGAGCAATTTCAACAAAGGCAACTCCACGAACTCCAAGAACTGCAACGGCTACTCGAACAAGAACAATAATCAAGTGAAACCTCCTCACGAGTACACTTGTGGCTGAAAGATCATCAGAGACAACATCAATTAAAGAAGCAAAGACGAAGTCGATGCCTAGGAAGAAGTGAGAGATAGAATAAACATAGGGTATGAGCCAGGCCAAGTCTCCCAGTCATCATAGCGTCATATATATATATATATATATATATATATATATATATATATATATATATATATATATATATTTGTTTATATATATATGATACGTGCATATATATTAGTAAGGAGGAGGAGCACCTAGAGTATATACATAAAACTTGTTTGAGTATAACATGCGAAGTGCGTTCCGATCAGAACATGGAGCGCAAGATCGTCGCTTTATCTCTCGTAAACCGAAATTATTCCGTATTTTTTTATCCTTTCGGTAGTCATAATACAAAGAAAGGAATGCCTTTATATAAACTCGTACAGTCATTTTATGGAGTAAGACGGCAAGTTAGGCCAGTTGCTTAGGGTTAACCGTGAACTTGATTTTCCGCGCAAGTCTAGAAACGCATCATAAGGAAGGAGCAATTAAAGGAAGGAAAAACAGAGCCGTCTTTTCGTTCTCTTTTAGTCCTTCTTTGTGTCCATGTTTCTAGTGTTACGCAGAAAACCAAGTTCACCATGATTAATTTTATGGGCCTGCTTAGCTCTATTCTATTACTATAGAGAACATGCTTTTTACCAGGGGTACCGGAAGTTTATCAAAAATAACTATGCTGCGTGATTAAAGTGCGTGGAAATTTTAAAATGGTATCCCATCACACGAGCCTAACAAAACGAATCTATCAGCTGGCCTGCAATGGTTCCATAAGTTCCTTGCGTAAACATACTTAACAACGTTCCTTGGGTATACATGGACACATGCAATAGACTTTCTGCGAATAACATAACGTCAGTCTCATTTGCTATGAATTGCTTGGTTCATTTAAATAACTAAGAAAACTTGAGTTCTCAAGATTATAAAGTAACCAGCGAGACAAATGCAACGCTGAAGAAATTGCATACGCAGTCGCTGGTGGCTATGTATGCCACTTCCTTATACAGTGATTTCAAGTAAGGGATAAGCTACATTATTCGTACGTTTTTAGGTGTAGGGTGGTAATGGGAATACCGACGTGGCAAAAGGAATGTTGAATTCCAATGGCGGAGCCAGAGCCTTCAGTGGACTCGGCGAGCGAGCGCTCGACTCTGGCGTAGAGAAATGCCTCCAAATCCACGATTAAAACACAATCCGCGCTGCCGGAGCAAACATGCGAAGCAAGGTAGAAGCGGAAGTCCCTGAGTTGCCCAAAATGCCCTGCGTGTTGTATTCTATTTCGCGAATTTCATGTCAAATTTTGTTGAATACGCTCATAAGCGGTGGTTTTATTTGTCGGTGTCAATCTGCGACGAACTGATTTGCCCAGTCGACAATGTCGTTCATAATTACTGCCAAAACACAAGACAGCGGTGGCACCCCCCAAGTGGGCGAACGTGTTAGGGGTTATTCCCGCAGAGGTCGAGCACCCGGCCCGTCACCGTCAAGGGACTATGGCATGGCGGGTTCCGGTCCACTGCATTTAATTCGGTGGAGCAACTTCACCTGCCCCTCAGAGACACTTCCGCTGTGAATCCACGCCCAACTCTATCATTGGAACACTTGACTCCCACCCTGCACTCTGCCATTAGAATACGCTTCAAAAGGAGTACAAAAACTTGCTCCGACTTCACTATTCAAACTAGGCATCAAGCGGACGAAAAGACAACTTGCCCCCGGAAAGGACTAAACGTGAAACTTTCGTCATTTTGACAGGTTCATTCTACTCAGTTTTATGTACCGCCTGACCCTGGCTTCAAATGTAACAAGTGTGACAGGGTTGTCATTAACTCTGTCACGTCAGAATCTCGGGCAGAAACTGTGCTGCTAGACATGCAGCAAATCTTAGAGTCCCGACTCACCACTTCTTAAGCACGGTAGGGTAACCAAACGCATCTAGCCCGTGGCCGTAGTTAAGGCCATATGGAACGAGCCCTTGCAGGATGTGGACACGCCCTGGGTGTACGTCGACTCTGTGGGTGTGGCTAACGCCGGTTGTGCGGTAGCCGTACGGGGTAGGCACGTTGTGGACGATGGCCGAGCTCTGGACAGTGTGAGTAGGTGGCACAACCTGGTGAACGGTCTGCACAGCCGCTACGGGAGCGGTCTGCACAGCCGCTACTGCTGGCACGACGGGGTAGCTGGCCACTGGCGTTGCATATGTCGGCACGTACACGGACATGGCGTTGCCAACAAGTGCAACGATTAGGCATAGGATCTGGGCAGAGGAAAAGATAAGTAATTATGTTCTGGGGGTCTGTACGCGAAAAAACTCCGATGTATTTGTGACACACTGTACTGTGAAAGAGGCCTGGAAAAATTTGAAGATTTCGTGTTCCTTAGAAGGCGCCTCAGTCAAAGTGCACGGATGGTTTTTCATTTGGCCTCGATGCAAATGTGGGCGCCGTGGCAGGGAGTTCAATGCACCTCCTACTGCTAATTATTGCGGCATTTGAGCCACTAATCCAACAGAAGGTGCATTGAGGTATCATCACCCTACGAACGCTTCTAAGGGAGCAGCAGGTGAAAAATAACAAAACAAGTGTATGCAGAAGTGAGTAAAGGAAAATCACTGCGAGGACAAAGGCCATTAGCCAGAATTTTTTTGAGAGGGTGAAGGTGGTTCTGTTGAAGGCCTTGTGGATATGAGAAAAACACATATTTTCATAATTTATTTTTGGTAAAACACTCTTCTGCATCAATATTTATTTTAAGGAGGTGGAAAAACGAAAGGCCAAGGCCCCCTCCTTCTGAAAAGGGCCTGAGTCAGAGACCCAGTAACATTTCGAGTGCCAACTTTATATCCTTGCGGTTATTGAGAAGGCTATCTCACACAAACGCCACCACTTTGTACGATATTCTGGCTTCCCAGTTGGTTTGATTATATGTGGGGTTTAACGACCCAAAACCGCCATATGATTATGAGAGACGCCGTAGTAGAGGGCTCTGGAAATTCAGACCACCTGGAGTTCTTTAACGTGGGCACACGGGCCCCCAGCGAAAATCTGAGCACATGGGCCTACAACATTTCCGCCTCCATCGGAAATGCAGCCGCCACAGCCGGGATTCGATCCCGTGACCTACGGGTCAGCAGCTGAGTACGTTAGCCACAAGACCACCGCGGCGGGGCTCCCAGTTGGTTTGTACAGTTAGTAAGCACAAAAAACAGAGAGAGAGAGAGAGAGAGAAATAATTAAAAGGAAGAGACAGGGAGGTTAACCTAGACGAACTGGTTTGCTACCCTGTACGGGGGTGGGGAAAAGGGTCGGAAAGAGGATAGCTATAAAAAACAGAAAACAAGAAAAGATGACGAGGAGAAGTTGAAGAGACGAGCGCACTGACCACCATAAATAGAATAGAGACCCTATGTCATGAGACAAGCTAAATGTACTATATGATAAAAATCATCCTCTTAGTGAACAATGGTGATCAATCGTAAAAATTATTCTGCTTGATTAGACACGACCGAATCGTGAAAGATATCGACGACTGATAGATTTTCTTGAGCGTTCCAAAATACGCGATGCTGAGCGTTGGGTAAATGACTGAACAACCGTCATTGTCCACACCTCACGGCATGCAGAAATTGTTGCTGTGGCTAAATTATGTACGTGAGAGTATCAGGCAACAAAAATTAAATGTCTAAAGTTTGCATTGCTGTCTTTTGCAAGAAGGTAGTGTCATTCTTAATTTTAAATATTAAAAGGGTGCTTCTGTAAAGCTTACGCTCGTAACGATGTACGAAAAAAAAACAACTCCGAGGCGCTTGAAGACTCACGAGAAAAGAAATAACTGAAGTTCATTTAGCATGCTTTTCTAGTAATAATGGCAATTAGTGTTACTTACGGTAATCATATTTGCACAGGTTTCGTGGAGCTCACAAGTGCTCTGAAGATACAATGCAGCTGTAAGGATTTATTGGGTACTTTTATACCCACGGGTGCAAAAAAAAGTGTCATGGGTTGTTGCAAGATGTCCTCATCTGAGTGGCGTAAAAAAGTGAAAATTTTACTGCTTATGCCCTTGAGTATTGAATATAAATTCGGGATTCGCAGTTGGGTTAAGGTTGGAAGCCGATGGGGAGATATTGTGCAGAGCTGGCTTTTGCCCAATAAGTGATTTCACAGTTTGCAGGTTTTGCTATTAGGTCCCTACGCTATAAACATAGTGTCGAAGGTCGGGCTGCCACGTCTTTCTTCCGTTTCTAAAGACTAGAACAAAACGACATTTAAATAAGATGAAGAGAAGGGTTAATGACAAGAACGGCCAGAGGCCCTTGCGAAATGCCTTTTCCTGTAGTGAGCTAGTGAATGGCATGAGAACGAGCCTTTAGATAAATAAAAAGAAGGCACGTGTTTCATATTGTGCATTGAACATGAGTTGGGTTTGTGGCTGTTTAGTTCTTTCGAGCAGAGAGATTGGTAAAGCCGCAAGGCTGCAGTTATCTTCCATTGAGAATACTATTTCTTAATAGTTTTGTAATAAACACTTACTTCGCTTTACCCAGGCGAATCTGTTAGGTCGTTCATTCGTCTCCCGAGTTATGGCTGGGCGTGTTATTCTTGCTCTATCACTGACGTGTTTATTGCGACAATGGCCTCTGCTAAACGATGTGTGCATACAGGTTTCACGTACCACTAAAATTGTTTCTTGAGTTTCTCAACGAGTTGTCTTTTTTTTTCTATAGAGTACGCGCATTTCTTTTTCTATTTTTGGTGAGCTTCCTCTCTACCGGAGCGCTAAGCAAAACACGCAGAAAGAACAATTCATGAAAATTCGGCGCATGAAAATTCGGTGGAGGTGTGTATATTACTTTCATTGTTTTAAGAGGGGTTACTTCCAACGGCAGAGAACAGTTCCCAACCTACTAAGAAATTGGAATGTCAACTTCAGTGGATAGACACATTTGTGAAATGCACATAGACAATAATTTTGTATTTCAGCGCAAAGAAATGAGCACACACGGAAAGCAATTTAGTTATTTCGTTTTGTGTGTATTCCTCAAATTTTAGATTGCCGCAGTGATTTCCAGTTCAACAAATTCGTGAGACATGGTAATTCTTCGACCGCTATAACTAAAATAATCAAACAAGGTTACTGAGGTGACAGGGAGACAAAAAAAAATATTGGTTCTAGTTATGTAAAGGTCAAGTAGGGCCTAGGCTTCAGCCATCTTCACTATCATGAATATGTATCCTTGTGTTATGTGTTGAAGTCTGTGCTATGTTACGGGTTCCAGACTTCGTGCTTCTTTTTTACAGACCGGTATGATGCTGGCGCATCACTGAGAACATATCTGGGAGTTGTGCTTGATGCAATTGTCTTGTCTTTTGTTGCACTTAGAGTGGTACTTGCTTTGGCAGATACTGGAGTGCAGCAGTGTCGAAATCCTCAACTTTCGAAAGCCTTCACTTGCTTGCAGCTGGGCAGTAAAGTGGTCTCAAACTTCTTGTAACACCTCGAGCTGTGTCTCGCTGAAGGGTAGTATACAGAACAGAACCTTTCGCTCAAGAATTCTAGGAATTTTATCAATGCATGAAAGGAGGGCCGCAAAAATATTAGCAATATGCGTAGAACTGAGAACAGGGTAGTAGTGAAATATTACAGCCAAATATTGTATGAAGAATAGTTCCTGGAGACATAATATAGACATTTTGTTTTTTCAAACATTGGTTTGGAAAAAACTTGATGCTCACCTCATCGCTATCAGTTACAAAGATTCCGCTCTTGTAGCTTGCATATAGGAGAGGAGCGATAGACTTTCAGATATTGAAATACCTCATTATTGTTTGACTGGTTGTCCGATTAGACGGAGTTTTTTTTTCACAAAAAATCCCTAGACGTTTGTAAATGAGTAAATATTCAGTTGATCAGAGTTTGATTAAAAATAAAATTGAACTCTTGAATTTTGAAAGTGGTGAAACTTAAGATCATGGCATCGGAAACTTTATTTATGCATATACTAATCAACGTGAAAGAAGCTTGACCAGTGGCCTCTGTTGCCAAGTTGCGTATTATGTAGTGTACAGCATTGACACTTCAATTCGAGTTGAATTCGACGTGCCTCTTCGGCAAGGCAAAGCGTCTCAGCGACAGTGACGTTGTCGTGTTCACAGAAAGGTCAACTGTGTCAATTGTGAACCGGGGGGAACGTGCACATAAGAAAAAGAATAGGCTATAGCCTGTAGTCTCGTGCTTCGCGGTGTTGAAAGCATACGTAATGCACAGAACTACGCCATTCAAATTCTTGCGGTCTAATAAGAAATACGACAGCATGTTGATAATTGTGTGGTTGGTACGCTCCATCAGCCCATTATTCTGGGGTTGGTATGATTTCCAGTGACGCAGGTGGGATTCACACAAACGAAGCAGCTCCTCCATGACATCCGCTGGTATTTGCTGTCCATGATCGCTGGTTATCAGGGGAAGTGGTTCGTGTTGGAGGATGATGTACTGTAGCAAGAACGACGAGGCGTCACTGGTAGTTGCGGAGGGTATGGCCGCCGTCTCGCAGTAGCGGGTGTGTTAGTCGACGCAAACAATTATCCATCGGTTGCCCTTATCTGATTTTTGAGAGGGACACAGGAAGAAAATCCCCACTTGTTCGAAAGGTGCGCTTGGATTTGACATCGCCTGCAAAAGATCAGCTGGAACAGCAGATGGACGTTTGTGACGCTGACACTGCATGCAGCTGGCCACATAGATCTCCATAGACGTATGCGTACTAGGCCACTGAAAGTGTTCTTCGGTGCGGTGAAGCGTCCGCGCTGAACCTAAATGTCCATATGTTGGTGCGTCATGCATGGCACTCATGATAACTGTTCGCAAGCTCTCCCATGTCACCAGGAGAAAACGTGCGCCACTGCTATAAAGACTCCTCTTGAGAAATATTCTATCACGCGCACAGAAACGGCGTGGAAGTGGATGCAGCGGTGAAGAGCAGTGCGAGTGCCCATCTGCTGTTCTGCTTTAAAAATGTGGAGGTCTGGGAGACTAAGCGACCCAGATGCTACAAGGTGGTCAATGTCTTCGGTGTCACAGTTCGTTGTGCTAAGTGGCATACCTGAAAGACAGTTCGCATCGACCAGTCTTGTAAGCGATGGTAAAGCTGTAATCTTGCAGCCGGAGTGCCCAACGCGCAAGGCGGCCGCAAGGGTCACGAAGGTCAACTAGCTAATACGAACAGTGGTGGTCAGTGACAGCTGTAAAGGGGCGTTGATACAAGTAATAACGAAACCATTGAACTGCAAATATTACCACCAGACATTCTTTTTTCATGGCAGTGTATTTTCGCTCCCGCTGGCATGCTTAGTAAGCGTATTTCGTATGCGATGACGTGTTCGTGGTCACCGCTAGCCTTGGACTAGGACGGCTCAATAGGTATGCCGCTAGCATCCGTATGAAGTTCTGTCGGAGCAGAAAGACTGATGTGTTGAAGGACTGGTCATGACGTCAGCAGAACATATATTTGACAAAACGAAGAATCGCACTGCGGAGTCCATCTGAAGTGCAGAGTCGCTAGCTGGAGATCTCCTCTAGTTAACACTCAGGTCTTTCCTTTATCATTATCTTTATCTCATATAGGACTAACACGGCTATAAATTGTTGCCGCGGGCCGCCGTGTCAAAAACAAAGATGTGGTTGCGCGGCAAACAAGAACCCAAGCCTCTGAAATAAGCTTGCTCTGCTGGAGTTTTCAACCTGTTCCTCAATCTGTTAGCAGGCATTCTTCCATATCGCTAGACAATTACTCGCTGAACTGCCATTGGGCGCAGATAGTGTTGCTTGGGTGGCGAGGGGTTATCAACAAACGTGTGATGAGAACGCCATTTATATATATATATATATATATATTTGCTTATTCATTCATATTTATTTATTTATTTATTAAAATGATTTTGAAGCCGTAAGGCAGCACAGAAAACAGTAGTGTGAACAATAATTATTGCACGTAAAAAAAAAGGGAAACAGAAAATAAAAAAATGCAGGATATCTTGTACGGCAAGCATGAAGTCTGTTTGGTCCACTATACAGGCGATGACGGCGGGAAAGTGGTTCCAGGCGGCGCTTTTACTCCGCTCAAATGAATCATTGTACACTCTGGTATGACAAAATAGTTGGGCCACATAAAGCAATGATTGGTCCTTGGTGAAAGAGGGCATCCTTCAAATGGCTGTTATGATGATAGGTTTCGTGGAAAAGGTCAAGGTGAGGCAATGCAATAAAATATTAGGCAAGTGAATGATCATCTTCACAGATGCGATACTGGAATGACGTGAATAGTTCGATGAGAGGAAACGTGCTGCGTCTCTCCTTATTTAAGTTTTTCCTTCTCGTTATTTTCTCACCTTCTCCGTTTCTTGTATCAGTTTTTTACTTGTTCCTCTCTATGTTTTGTTTATTTTTTCACTTTCTGTCTTGTTTTCTGTTTCTCTTTACTTTCGTAACAGTAGTTGTTGGTTTTCGGATGTTTTAGCTCATGCTCTTGTTGGGAGAGTCCTAAACGGGCAGCTGTTGTTTCACTTGGCTACCCAAGTGCACACCTACTGGAAAAAGGCATAAAGGAACATTGTGAAGAGCCCGCAATGAAAACTTTGGAAAAGCAATGCTGCCTGCTCTAAATGTAAGACACCAGAATAAAATTTATTACTGGTGCAATGGGGTAACAATGTTGAGGCGTGAAGCACGATTTCGAGGAACATAGTGATTAACCTGGACACCATAGTTGTCTGAGGAATTCCTTCGCTACGATGCAGCGTATAGGGTGCATGAATAAATGAAACCGCGTTTATTCTACTTCATTTCAGGCGAGGACGCTGTGGTGGACAGGGACAAGACACTGTAGCAGAGGGAGGCGGTAGAGCTGCCACCATTGTAATAACGA